CTCCCCAAAAGGATTTCGAACCAAAGGAGTTTGAACCTTTTTTCCCTCTTTTTCTTCTCCTTTTATAGCTTTCCCTTCATCCTCTTTCTCTCTTCTAGAAAGTTTGCCACCTTTAGGTTCCTTGGGCTGCTCTTAAGTTGTACATGGGCCTCCCTCTTGCTGGGCTGAATGGGCTCCCTTGGAGAGCTTCGGCTAGGCTCTCTCCTTGGGTTTCCCCATGGAGTGCTGCCTAGGCTTCATGGACCGAATAGCCCTCCTTAGGCTTCTCGGCTGGGCCTTTCTCCCAGCTAGGCTGAATTGCCTCCACTTAGCCTCTTTTCCATGGTTTTTTGTTATCTTTCCCCTAAACTGGTCTCCCTTGAAAATTTCCTGAAATCAAGCTAAATTGAGGTAATAATTTATACAAATCATCATCAAAATCATGCATAAACATCAGAATTTATGTGTAATTTGCACACACATCAAACACCCCCACACTTAAGCTTTTGCTTGTAAGCAAAGACATCACCCATAAACTGATCATCCCCCCTTATTATTACCATTTACCGGATGAATTTAGGATGAGAATACATTGAGTGGTTGGGAAACCTGTGTAGGTATTCTAATTCATTAATCTGAATTGCCATTCTTATCATATACATAAGAGCCAAGGCAAGGGAGAATATGAAATTTTTCATGCTCCAACAACATTCACTTCCATTCAATATGTAAATCAGCTCCTTGACCGCTCAATTAACCATTACATTGAGCTTGGTCACAAATCTGTCACTGCCCCTAATGGAGTATTCAACCACATTTTGTCCCTTTGAACCTCAGTCGTCACCGAATTCTTTTCCTTCCCCTTTTTTTTTTGGTGTGAGTGCATTTTATGCTCCATCTCACACTGGTCACAGGCTAGAAGCAGATAACAATACTCATATTCCAAGTTGCTAGTTTTACTATTCAACTCGGAATAACGGAGTTGGGACTAAACTCATATCATGAACCGCTAGTTTTGCTATTCAGTTCATGACAGCGAAGTCATTTGGACTTTGTCCTTTTTCTTTTCTTCTCTTTTTTTTTTCAATTGTTGAACCTCATACATTAACAATTCAGATATGAACATAGATCGAATGACCATTAAGATGTCAGTCAAGTGCATCATACACATGAAGAAAGTTAGGGCTGGTCATGATGAAAGTCCTATTCGGCTTCCTTAACCTCATGCAATGTGATAAAATTGGATCATGCACAAGAATAAAGTCTCACACTTACAAAGATTTCCCTCAACTCATTGTATTCCCTCTTGGAATTCACCTTATAAACAACAATAATCTTGAGGGAATTTCAGTTTATCCAGCCTATCAATGCATGTATGTGTTGGGGTGATTGAGGTGCATAGCTACGACCTAACTTTCCCACACTTAAGATGAACATTGCCCTCAATGTTCCTAGTGTTAGAGAGTGAAGATGAATCCATCAATGAGGGTATTTGCATGAAGAGCATTATCAAGTAATGAGAGGGGTTTAGAGGACTTCCCTGAAGATCCTTCTAAAATCTGGAATGGCTCTTTTGTTTGGAACTTCTAGCTGCTAAGAATCACACAAAACTAGGAAGAGAGAATGATACACTAAAAGAGATCAGTAACCTACTCAATTAACAGCCTAAGAAAAAAAACTACTCAAATGCTATGAATAAGAAAAGCAAAAAACACAAAAATAGTTTATAACTGATCATCTAAAGCTTGACAGTTTAGTGAAGTCACCGGTCGTCTAGGTATATAGTGGATGGAGTAGGCAACGTTCCACCCACTATATATGGTTTGAGGCGTTGACCATTGACCTTAAATGTGCCTTGTGCTTGGTGGGTGACCTCTACGGCTCCATGGGGGAAAACCTGTGTGATGGTGAAAGGCCCAGACCATCTCGATTTCAGCTTGCCCGGGAACAACTGGAGACAGGAATTATACAACAACACTTGCTGGCCCACATGAAAATCACGTCTCAACAAGTTCCTATCATGCAATCTTTTAGTTCTCTCCTTGTAAACCTTGGCATTCTCATAGGCGACAAGTCTGAATTCATTCAACTCATTCAGCTGCAGCCACCTCTCTGCTCCTATGGCCTATGAATCAAAATTTAAGAACTTTAGTGCCCAATATGCCTTATGTTCCAATTCAACAGGTAAATGACATGCTTTTCCAAAAACTAACCTGTAGGGAGACATGCTGATGGGTGTTTTATATGCAGTTATGTATGCCCATAATGCATCATCTAACCTGATTGCCCAGTCTTTCCTAGCAGAGTCGACTGTCTTCTCCAAAATTCTTTTGAGCTCCCTATTAGTTAATTCTACTTGGCCACTGGTTTGAGGGTGATATGGGGTAGCTAATTTGTGTGTAACACCGTATTTTCGCATCAGCCGCTCAAATTGGGTGTTGCAGAAATGAGTTCCTCTATCACTAATGATAGCTCGGGGTGTGCCAAATTGGATGAAAATCTTTTTCAGGAAATGTAGTACCCTCTTAGAGTCATTTGTGGGTAAATCTGTGGCTTCCACTCATTTAGACACATAATCAACAACCACTAGGATGTACTTATTACCAAAAGAATTCGGGAAGGGTCCCATGAAGTCTATACCCCATACATAAAAAATTTCACAAATCAAGATATTAGTGAGGGGCATTTCATTCTGTCGGGAAATGTTACCTGCTCTCTGACATTGATCACATGCGGATACATACCTATGACCATCATTGAACAAGGTAGGCCAATAGAAACCTGAGTGCAAAACCTTGGCTGCAGTGCGGTTGGCTCCGAAGTGGCCTCCCGCTTCTTTATCATGACAGTACCAGAGCACTGACTCCACCTCCTCCTCGGGGACACACCTCCTTATGATCTGATATGCACATAGCTTATACAAAAGTGGATCCTCCCACAAATAATGTTTCACATCAGAGAAGAATTTCTTCTTCTGTTGATATGAAATGTTGGGGGGGATAACATGTCCAGCAAGGTAATTTGCAAAATCAACATACCAAGGTGATGAATTTACCTAAATGGAGTAGAGTTGTTCATCGGAAACTCCTCTCAGATGGTGCTGATTGTCTTCTCCTCTAAATCCACATTATCTAACCGGTAAAGATGATCAACAGCTAGGTTCTCGGTGCCCTTCTTGTCACGTATCTCAACATCAAATTCTTGCAACAAGAGGATCCACCTAATCAGCCTCAGTTTTGCATCCTTCTTGGCGAGTAGGTGTCTTAATGCCGAGTGATCTGTATACACAATAACTTTGGACAAAATCAGATATGAACGAAATTTATCAAAAGCAAAGATTACCGCTAGTAGTTCATTTTCTGTCGTGGTGTAATTCTGTTGGGCACCATTCAAGGTTCTGCTAGCATAGTAGATCGACTGAAAGTGTTTGTTCAATCTTTGTCCTAAAACAGATCCTATGGCTGAATCACTCGCATCACACATCAGCTCAAAAGGAAGTGTCCAATCTGGTGCTATCATGATGGGTGCATTGATCAGCTTGTCCTTCAGAATATTGAATGCTTGTAGGCATTCGGCTGTGAACTCAAAGGCCACATCCTTCTGAAGCAAAGTGGACAATGGCTTGGCTATCTTGGAGAAGTCCTTGATAAATCTTCTATAGAATCCGACATGTCCCAAGAAGCTTCTACAGATCGGACGGATGTTGGTGGTAGCAACTTTTCAATTGTCTCCACCTAAGCTCTATCAACCTCTATACCTCTCTGTGAAATCTTATGCCCAAGCACGATGCCTTTTGCACCATGAAATGACACTTCTCCCAATTCGGCACTAGATGTGTCTCCCTGCACCGCCTAAGCACCTTCTCCAAATTGTTCAAACATGCATCAAATTAAGAGCCAAAGACTGAGAAATCATCCATGAAAACTTCCATGAACTTTTCAACCTTATCAGAAAATATTGACATCATACACCGCTGGAATGTTGCTGGAGCATTGCACAACCCGAATGGCATCCTCCTATAGGCAAAGGTACCATATGGGCAARTGAAAGTGGTCTTCTCTTGATCCTCCGATGCAATTGGAATCTGATTGTAACCTGAATACCCATCCAAGAAACAATAATACTCATGCCCGGCCARCCTCTCTAACATTTGGTCAATAAACGGGAGAGGGAAGTGATCCTTGCGTGTGGCTTCATTCAATTTTTTGTAGTCAATGCATACTCGCCACCCGGTAACGGTTCTAGTCGGCATGAGTTCATTTCTTTCATTTGGAACAACGGTCATGCCACCTTTCTTTGGCACTACTTGCACGGGGTCACCCATGAACTATCAGAAATAGGATAAATAATCCCGGCATCTAGTAACTTGATGACTTCAACCTTCACCACCTCTTTCATATTTGGGTTCAGGCGTCTTTGGGGCTGAACTGAAGGCTTACTTCCTTCCTTCATCAGAATTCGGTGTGTGCACATAGATGGGTTGATACCCTTGATGTCGGCTACCTTCCAAGCCAAGGCTGTCTTGTGTTCCCGTAACACTCTCAACAGTTTTTCTCTTTGCAAAGGGYTCAATGCTGCTGAYAYGATTACCGGTAGAGCTGATGATGCCTCTAAGAAAGCATACTCCAAATGTGGTGGAAGTTGCTTCAAATCAAGGGTGGGAGATTATTGGGTTGAAGGCTTGTTTGTCAGTATTGGCGGTCTGTCCAAGCTCTCCAACTTGAGAAATCCCTTCCCTTGAAACCGTGGATTGGCATTCAGGTATGTTGCCATGCTGTGAATCTCCTCATTTTCTTCCCTTGCAGCTCCTCCCTCTTGTATGCAAAGGTCAAGGGGGTCGGCCAACCTGCTAACCTGAAAGCAATCATCAACTGCATGATCAATAATATCAACCATGTAACAAGAATCATCACTAGAAAGTGCATGTTTTATAGCATCAGACATTTTAAAAATTATTTCCTCATCTTGAATCCTAAGGCTGAGTTGCCATTGTTGGACATCAATCATTGCCTTCCCCGTAGCTAGGAAAGGTCTCCCTAGGATAAGAGGAACATCAACATCCTCTTTCATGTCTAATACAATGAAATCAACTGGAAAGATGAATTTATCTACTTTAACAAGCACATCTTCTATGATTCCCCTAGGATGCTTTATGGATCTATCAACTAATTGCAATGTAACTCTAGTAGGTTGGCGTTCATCCAATCCTAGTTTCTTAAAAACCAAATATGGCATCAAGTTTATGCTAGCTCCTAGATCACATAATGCCTTTTCTATTTTCAAACTGCCTATAGTGCAAGGGATAGTGAAACTCCCTAGATCCTTCAGTTTATGGGGCAGCTTGTTAAGAAGGATTGCCGAGCATTCTTCATTGAGTGCAACAGTAGCCACATCTCCCAATTTCTTTTTATTTGCCAATATCTCCTTCAAGAACTTTGCATAGTGTGGCATTTGGGCTAAAGTATCAGCAAAAGGGATATTAATATGTAAGCTTTTAAACACTTCAAGAAACTTACCGAATTCTTTTTCCAATTTGTGTTGCTTCAGCTTATTCAGAAAGGGTACTTGTGGTTGTTGGTTTCTCTCCTTCTTCGGTTCAGATTGCTCATCCTCCTTCCTTTCGGTTTCAAGGGTTGCATCTGTCTTGTTTTCAACCCTTGCCTTCTTCTCTACTTCTGGTAGCTCCTTACCACTTCTCAAAGTGATAGCCTGCACTTTCTCCCTTGGGTTCACTTCAGTATTGCTGGGTAGAATGCCCGGTACTCTTGCTGAAATCATTTGTGCCAACTACCCGACTTGATTCTCCAAGTTCTTTATTGATGCTTCTTGGTTCTGAAATCTTGTTTCAGCACTAGCTATGAACTTGGTTATCAGCTCCTCTAGGTTAGATTTCTTCTCCAGCTGATTGAAATTTTGGGGGAAAGGCTTTGACATATTCTGATTTGGGCATGACTGATTCGGGTGGCCCCTCCATCCGGGGTTAAAGGCACGAGGGTACTGATTTCCTTGCTGCCTTGGAAAGTTGCCAACGAAGTCTAACTGCTCGGGGGACTATATAAACTAATTGCCAACTTGACATTCATTGTTGATATGACCTCCCCCACACCAATCACAAGTCACGGACTGAACATGCATGGCTGCCATCCGCATTTCATCTATGTTTTTGCTGAGTGCACCTATTTGCGCAGATAGAGCTGTATAGGTGTCGACATTATGAAGGCCTTGCTGCTGCCTAACTTGTGCTCTCTCAGAGTGCCATTGATAGTTGTTTGCAGCCATCTCCTCTATGAGTGCATGGGAAACTTCAGGGGTCTTGTTGTTGATGGAACCCCCAGCTGCCGCATCCATAATGGTCTTGCTGGCTTCGGTCAGCCCATTATAGAAGGTTTGCACTTGCAGCCATATGGGAAGTCCATGATGAGGGACCTTCCTTAACAGCTCCTTGTAACGCTCCCATGACTCATAGAATGATTCTCCATCTTGCTGACAGAAAGTGGTGATGTCAACCTCATCTTTGCTGTCTTGGATGGGGGAAAATATTTGGAGAGGAATCGGCTAGCCATTTCATCCCATGTTTCTATAGATCCAACCGGCAAAGAATTCAGCCAAGTCTTGGCTTTGTCATTCAATGAAAATGGGAACAACCTAAGCCTAACAGCATCATCACTCACCCCATTATGCTTAAAAGTATCACAAATTTCCAAAAAATTGGCTATGTGAGTGTTCGGGTCTTCATGAACCATGCCACAAAATTGAACCGTGTTTTGTATCATCTGAATTATGGCTGGTTTGATCTCAAAATTATTGGCAGCTATGGATGGTCTTTCAATGCTTGAAGCAGCCCCCGGAAAGGATTAATTTGGCATAGTCCATCATGGTTCTTGGTTCGGCCATCTCTTCAATTTTAGCTCTCACTTGTCTAGCAGCTCTAAGGCGGATGCGGAGGGTTCTTTCAATCTTGGGATCGTAGGGGATTCCCTCCATTTCAGATCTGCTTGTCATAAACTGTACAAGTCAAAGTAATAAAGAAGCTAATGTACACCAATCAGAAAATTAATCTATCAAGCAAGGAAACTGCACACTACCGAAACAAGATCAGCAACCAAAGACAACTACAATTAGCAAGAAGAAAGAAAATGACTTATATCAGCAATGGAGGTTAATGTACACAAATCTGAACCAATGTGTATAGAATTAAAAATCAGATTAACAGTGGCTAATGGTTCCTAATATTGCTGTAATAAGTCCCCGGCAACGGCGCCAAAAACTTGATACGTATTTGCTGCACTAGCAAGTGCACTAGCCGCTCAAGTAATAAAGTGTTGAATAGAATATCGTTCCCACGAGGACATACAACAACTACTAGTAATATATCAGCCATCTATTATCTGATTAACCGAAATGTTAACCTAATCAAAACTGAATTCCTAACTAACAAACTATCTCTAGCAAATTGGATCAAACACCTTTCATGCAGTTGAGAAGACAAGCTATATGTGAACAGATTTGGTTCAACAATTAATTCTCTAGGTCATTCGATTGGATTGGGATTCAGCCTTGGTCTGGTGAAACCCCAATGTTATGGACAGCCTCTCTCGAGTGCATGCTCAATCTATGCATGAGTGATGATTCTTACATCTCTATCAAGAATCTAATCCTCATGCATGCATTAAGATCAAGAGTTCTAGGGAATGAAGACCAACCAAATTGTACAAGTTATCTCTAACCTTGTATTCAATTCGGTTCTTGATTAGCATATCCGAATTCCTAAACTCTTTCTCAAGCAATCTAGAAACTCCAAGAATTAAGAGCAGTTCGACCAAACAGAAATCAGATTGTCTAAATTCTTCATCAAGCAATTCGGACAGTCTAGCATACAAATTCAATTCGGCTAGCTATTTTAACAATTAAAATCCTAATCAAGAAACATCAATATTGAATCTAATCCATTCGAATAACCCTAGAGAACTAATTACAGATCTGAAATTACCTGAAACATGATCCAATTACAGCAAGAAAGAAGAATCAAGTGAGAAAATATCATGAAACCCTAGCAGAGATCATTTACCATTTGCACAGAATTCAAGGAAGAAGATAACCTATATTGATCTCCTCCAATGGATTATTCTCCAAATTCGGATTCAGCACCTCTTCTTCTCTTGAAGCTTCTTGAATCTCCCCCAAAAGGATTTCGAACCAAAGGAGTGTGAACCCTTTTTCCCTCTTTCTCTTCTCCTTTTATAGCTTTCTCTTCAGCCCCTTTCTCCCTTCTAGAAAGTTTGCCGCCTTTAGGCTCCTTGGGCTGCACTTTGGGCTGTTCTTGAGCTATACATGGGCCTCCCTCTTGCTGGGCCGAATGGGCTCCCTTGGAGAGATTCGGCTAGGCTCACTCCTTGGTTTCCCCCATGGAGTGTTGCCTAGGCTTCATGGTCCGAATAACCCTCCTTATGCTTCTCGGTTGGGCCTTTCTCCCAGCTGGGGCTGAATTGCCTCCACTTGGCCTCTTTTCCATGGTTTTATGTTATCTTTCCCCTAAGTGGGTCTCCCTTGATAATTTCCTGAAACCAATCTAAATTGAGGTAAGCATTTACACAAATCAGCATCAAAACCATGCATAAACATCAAAATTTATGTGTAATTTGCACACACATCAAAAGATAAACTTAAACACATAACCAATTTTATTTCTCAAGCAAACAAGAGAAATGCATACTTCTTTGTCGTTAGAGATGCACCAAAAAATCAGCTTCAGTGTTTTTTCTTTAACAACTCCAATATGGGAGGTATGGTCATTATAGATTAAAAAATACTCAAAACCAGAAATTACTTGGTCAATCGATCAGTTGTCCGAGATTCGAAAACCTATAAGAAAAAAAATTGTGATTCTTGCGCTCGTCCACAGTAGATTCTGAGCTTTCATTCTCAAGCAGACGTTTTATTACCGAGAGAAGGGGTGTCAATTGACCGGTTTGGTATGGTCGATTATAATTATTGGATTGGGTCAATCCAAAATAAATTGGTCCAATATTCTTATTGGTTTGAATTGGATCTAAGTCAAATTTGTAATAATCTGATCATGAGGCCAAACCTTTGTCCAATTTGAAACAAGTCAAAACTGAAGCCGACATTAAATCACTTTTATGAAAGTACTTTTACAAAAACACTTTTATAAAATTAATTTTATGAGAAGAACTTTTAAGAAAGTATTTTTATGAAAACACTATTATAAAAGCAGTTTTACAAAAACACTTTATTAAAAGCATTTTTACAAAAATACTATTAGAAATGAATTTTTATAAAAGTACTTTTACAAAACCACTTTAAGAAAAATATTTTTGCAAAAATACTATTACAAAAACAGGTTTATAAAAGTAACTTGTTACTTGCAATGAAATTAATCAGGTATATGGTAGTAAAAGGAAATAAATTAAAAATATATTAATGCTTCCATTAAGATTCGAACTCAAGTCCTACCGCTAACTAAATGGGTGCTCTAACCAACTGAGCTATGAAAGCAATCCCTTGTTTACAAATCCCTTTATAAAATCCATTTGCAACACTTGGAAGTAACTAAAATCAGATACAATATTGATCTACGTCATATGGAAAAGTAAAAAGCCTAGAAGTTTGGGACCCTAGCTAATTGTCAATAATAAAGAATTAAATATTAAGAACGTTTATAAAAATATATATTACTTAGGAAAGTTTAAGATGAGGTGCTTTCTTTTAACAATATGATCCCTAAAAGCTGGTTCATGGTGTTCTTTCTTGTTATTTTTTTTTATTATGGTTAAAAAATCAGCTAGTACTTATTAGGATTGGTATTCGACCAGTTTACGAGTCAGGCTTCAGGCTTTGGAATGGATCCATTTAAATTTTGACAAATGTTAAATCGAAATCCCGTCTATGAATAGTTGTAATTAATATTCGCATTATAGGGAAATGATAAAGAAAGGCAAAACTCAAAAGAGAATTCTTAGAGTTGTTAAATAAAAGATTCCACTCTTAAGGCTCCGTTTGTTTGCGATATAAACGTCGAACCATGGTATTTTTGTACCCCGGTTCACGTTTGCAAACGTTTGTTTGATTTGTAAAGTAATGGTTAACAGATCAAACAAGTATTTTCTAACACTTTTGTACTCTGAGAAGGGAGCATTATTGTACCTATTTTTGGATAGAATTTTGTATTCTTTGATAATTAACTTTTTGAGCAAAGTTAAGGCATAAGAGCAGATGATAGAGCTTTTAATGATGGGACCACACTTTGCACCGATTTCAAACAAAGAAGATGACTGCAAAAAGGGTTTAAAATGTGAACCGTATTTGCATTCGTGAACCGAAAAAAGGGTAAATATGTAGTGTACATATTTGCATTTTAATTGTAACCAAATGCAGGCTCAAGTTGGAAAGAGCACAAATATAAACAAAATAATACTTAGTATAAGGTTTTGCACTCTACATTTTTATATTTTGTACTCCTTCCGAACTGAGCTTAATTAACTTTCTCAAGAAATAACATTGGTGTGGCCCATGAAGAGCCGACCCCATATACTTTTTACTTGAGTCCCATAAGAATGAATAATGGGTGGAGAGAGAGACCCTGCCCTAGACTAGGGAACCCTCAACATATCATATCTATGATTGCAATATAGCTATACTAATGAGTAAGCAAGCAGTTCTTATACCTATCACATTGAGGGTGCCTTTTTAAATAGTATAGCTATGTTGTAATTATCAATTAATCCTCAAGCATCCCAATCAGATTGCTTTTCCTATTT